TCACAACTGCATTTTCTTTTCTGTGCATGTAGGAAAGTCAGACAAAGGGTAAATCACCATAGTATCAATTATTATGATGCATTTCTAAATTTAAGTGAAATCAATTGAACATAAAGTAATTTGTAATATATTTTATAATTTACTCAAAGTCCCTGCATATATCCAAATACATATATACTTACAATCTAAAAATCTATAATCTTTAAAAACAATGTCAATTTATTTGATGCTTAATAACTAAAAGCTTCTCTCAAAAATATATTGCCATATGGTTCATATAGTGTTAACAACCAAATAAAGGTAGACCATTATTTTCATTTTTTTTGTAGACCATTATTTTCAAATGATTAAAGAAACACAAGTGAAATAAACAATTTGAGAACACTTACATTAGTGCATTCATTTCAAAGTGAAGCCAACAACAATCTTCAATACTCCATCAGCAATCATGAAATTCATAGAATGTGCCTCATATATTTGAATGATGGGTGATGCTATAATCTGGGACTGTTAATTTAATAACATGCCGCTTATTCAAAGTAACAATTAAATGTCTCCCCAAGATTTATTTGTATAATCATTTGGTGCTCAAATATGTTCTAAGGACACAGTTAAATAATAAATGGGCAATAGCAAGTTCATGAACAAAAGTAACAAGACAGAAGACCAAAAATAAAGACAAAATGTATACATTTAATGTACAGCAGGGGACAATGGCCAGAGAAATGCTTTATAGGGAAGAATAAAGGGATCTTTGGGATTCATTTGCTGTCTTTTCTGAAAGTTGGTCATAAAATGCACCATGGTGCCAGCTATTAGAAAACATACTTGGACTACAAAGACTATTTTCAACAACATTAGTAGATATTTCCAGGGATATGTGAGTAGTCAGTAAGCATTACATGATGATCTTCTCATGAATCAAATTGGTATGCTATCTCATAAACAAATCCCAACTACTGTAACTATTTATTCATCTTAACTACTTAATTTATCACAACATAGCTAGCATTTAATATTCTAATATATAAATTTTAACATAAAAATTTGCCATTGTTGCTTTAATTCTATGCCTAAGAATGTAAAGTGGTATTTATTATTGTCACTGATTAAGTATATAGCACCTGAAAATTATGTATTATATCTCCATATATGGCATGAATGTGAATACCAGTCTATGAACCAATGAAATAATTTTTTCTCTATCAAACATTTTTATCTACCAAAAAAATCTGAATACATATTGAGTGTTCTTTAAGAAACTACATCTTCTAGTTGACATTTTATATATAGGGCCAGATATTCATGAATTTAGAAAACCATTAATACTCCTTTTGAAAGACATAAAAGGAAAAACAGTTATATTTCAATCAAGTATTACTAAAAAAGAGACAAAAAGCCTTTCTACAAGTAAGTCCACATCATTATCTAATTAAAAATTTTAATTTAGTATGTAAATTTCTACCTACCCAAAAAATGCAGATGCTTTACATGGAGACATATCAACTTTGAAACTATTTTCAAAACATCTCTAGCTTTCAAAGAGATGAAAAATAAGACTTGAAAGAGAGCTACACAATGTAAATCTGCAAATATTTGAGGTGATAAAATGGTCAAAAATAAATAATTTTAAAATTTACTTTAATGGTTCCATTTCCAAAATATGTGAATTCTAAATGTATCTATTATGTATAATAAAAATATCTTCTAACATAACCATACATATTTTCCCTCCTCCTTATTATCACCATTCTAGTACATAGTGTATTTTCTTAACTCCAAATGTTTTACCACTTTAAAATAATCTCAAGTTATTGGTCTACCTTCTAAGTTACCATGAGGATATTCACTTGAAAGCTATTATCTATCTACTTTTATGAATTTAAGTCAACGCAAGGTTGTACTTTACTATATCTTAAAGATTCCTTTTCTGAAAAAAATTCACAAGCCATTTTTGTCACCAACTACTAGCATCAAAAAAATTCTTCTTCTTTAAAAGAAAGATTATTCATTTATGTAAATTGCTTTCTCCTTGTTTATGCATATTGATGATCTCAAACTAGGTCTCAAGAGATGGATTTCTTGGAAACCTAGACTTTTGGAACTGGAAAGGACATTAGAGATCATCCACTCCAAGCCCTTCATTTTATGGTTGAGGACACTGAGCCCAGAAAAGATAGCTGAGTGACTTTGGGCAAATTTCCTATTGAGTGGCAGAGCCAGAATCAGAAGCCAGGTCTCCTGACACCAAGTTAGGAGCCAGGTCTCCTGACTTATGGTCCAAGGATCTTTCCATTACACACACACTGAATCTCTATTCTTTGGGGATGTCTTGGCCTGCTTACCCTGATTAAACTGCTTTATAAATGATCATGTTCACCAAATGATGCCTTTGATGACATGTCATGGGATCTTGGAACATGCCTACACAATCAGGCTGTACTATAATCACAATCTTTCCCTGACTAGAACACCTCAATGGCTCCTCTTTGATCACACAATAAATTATAAAGCTCCTTAACACTGTCTTCAAGCAGTATGCAACCTAGCCCCAATAAATCACATGAAACTTTCCCCCTCTTGATCACTGCTATTGATGACAGCCTTCATTCAGTTCTTGCAAGGTACCAAACTCCTTCCTGTCTCAGTGTATGCCATTCCTTCCACTCAGCCTCTTCTCCCATGCTTTGTCTGGCTAGCTATTATTCTTCAGTTCTCAATTAAATATAAGACCTTTTAAAGGGGATTCCCCCACCCCAAGCCCTCTGATGTTTTACTCCATTCCCACTTCCTTCTTTTTACATTCTTATTGCAACCTATATCTTTTAGTGTTTAAAACAAGCCCGATTAATGAATTATTTATTCACTTATTTATTTAAAATACTTTTCTTTCAATCTATTCCAAGCCCTATAAGAACTGGTACTCATTCCCAATCACTATTCTACCCTCCAGTACTTAGCAGACTGTGTCTGAAATACAGTTAATTGCAATAGTTAGTATTTACTAGTTAGTTGATTATTATGTGCCAGGTCTTGTTCTAAAGCTGGGGATCTCATTCAAATTTCCAACAATCCTATGAAGTTGTTATTAGTAGTATACTTGTTTTTCAGATGACAACATTGAGGCACATTGCATTAAGACATTTGCCTAGTATAACAGAGCTGGTAACTCATGGAACTGAGATTTGAATTCAAGCATTCTAATTCCAGAGTCCATTTTTGAAACTAACATATTATGCCACACACTCAAATATTTGTTTAATATACAAACTTATCCACAAAAATCAGATTAACAGTATCAGTGAACTATGTAAATGGAATAACAATGACAAGCATATAGTATTTACAATATGCCTAGCACTAAGTAGTATACCTATTGTAATCATTTAATCCGACAGCAACCCTGCAAAGAAGACACGACTATTATTACCACTTTACCGACGAGGAGACTGAGGCACAGACAAGGTGAGTAACTTGCCCAAGATCATATTGCTAGTAAGTGGCAGATCTGGGGTTCAAACACAACAGGGTCAAGTCTCTGCTCATAACTTCCGCCTGTGCCACCGTACTTGAGATAGCCCATAGCTGAGGACAGCTCAAAGTTAATAATCAATTACTTATGTAACAATCATTAGTGAATCCGCGAGAAGCAAAAAAATAAAAAATAAAATAAAAAAGAGGGAAAGAGAAAGAAAAAAATCCATCTGCTTAGACAAACTTGACTCACTGTATATGATGAAGGTAAAAACTCCTCCTTCGTAGGGATGTCTTACTAAAAGGGGGGAGCCCCTTCCTTCTAGTGGATATAGTGCCATAGCATAGTGAAGGGTCTTCCTGGGGATGCCTTCTGCATTTCTGCCCTTACCCTGTGGCTGGGAGCCCTGGCTACACTACATAGAGGCGTCAAAATAGTGTACACACTGAGGAAAAAGGAGACATCTACCCTTCGGATGAAGGCTTAAAAAAATGTAACAGCCACACAAAAACCCCAGAGCCATGGTGAGCAAAAAGAACATTTTGCAAAAATGTGTTAAAGTCTTGCCGAACCCTGTTAAAACCTTGCTAGGACTTTAGATAAACAGGGTGCTCCTCACTAAGCTCCTTAGTTCCATCAGCTAGAAAGTGGGGAGAAAAAAAATACTTGCCTTGAAGGATTCTTTAAATAAGAAAATAATGTTATTGAAATCCCTTCTGCAAATGATAAAGCACCATATAAATTCTATGTTTACTCAATATTCAAATCTTCTATCTCATATGTCTATAAGGGTCCTTCCCTCAGGTTTTCATTCTGTTTTCTGTGAAAAACTACTGGTGAAAACAGCACTGCTCTAGATGATGATCCTTTAAATGTATGATTCCATTTTGCACATGGTTGAAATTTTATCCTATGAATATGAGGGCACAATAGAAATGAAAAAAAAAAAAGAGGCAGCCTTAGCATGAGGTACCATGTTTCTCAGAGACAACTTTTAGAAGAGTACTTAAAAACAAAAGCGAAATGAGAAGAAAAATTTCAGTTCAAGGTTGGATGACTCCAGTTAGCTCATTTAGACAAAGGATAGATGTTTTTGTACTAGAGCTTGGGCATTCAGCAGTTTCAGAAGGTGTGCTATGAAAGTAGGGCAAAGAAATCTAGTTTTGGAAGTCAGAATTTCACACTGTGGCCTGAGTACAATGTCAAAAGAACAGGTCAAAGTGGTCAGCTGCATGAAAGAAAAATCCAAAATCAATCAGATCAGCATATAGATGAAATAAGTGATTTGGCCACACATTTCCACCTTTCAGTGTGTGACACTGGAATTACTAAGCACAGTTCATGTGAGAGATATTGAGAAATTCATTCAAATTTTCCACACGTTTCAGGTTGCCCAGATGTAAAATCCAAATAATGAAATCATTCTTCCCAAGGAGCTGTCACATGCCTAGGTGAAGGACACGACATGAGGTGAGGGGAAAAAAACTCTTATCTTTGCTCCCTAAATGAGATCTTATAACCTTACCTAATAGATTGGTTAACCACAAGGCCAGATCTTCCTTCATCGGTAGCAAGTTAGCTTCATGTCTGCTCGCCAGCCATTGGCTATACTGATGCATATCCGAGAGGCCAGGTCCACTGCGTACCTTTGGGCTCAGAGCAGTGCACATTATTTATCCACTTGTAATCCCTGTTTTGGAAACAAAAGAACAGTTGCTTTTTACATAGACGTCTCTTGTTAAAATCTTTCTGCCAACGACATAGTAAGGAACCAGGTCCATGGACGCTTTGATAACAGGTCAGGTTATTAATTATTAAACCCCATGAGACACTATTTGCTTTTCCTGTACTGGGCCTATCCCTTTCGACCAACCACCTGTAGGAAACATCAGCCATCTAAGGTCAAATAGAAAAATCAAACACTAAGCTCTAAGCTCACGTAAAACATCATACTGGAAAAAGTCAGCTTGTAAGGCAAGAAATTCCACTTATTCAAAAGTAATAAAAAGGGCTTGATTAAAATTTTAGTGTCCAAATTGTAAACTCCCAATGTTTTGGTTAATGTCTGAAACCATAGATTTCCACAGAATTTTAGTAGTGAGTGCAAGCAATGACATAATTTGCACGATTTACTGTAAACTTAGGACAACTATTCTTAAAACTATTACCTGTAAGATTAAGCAGAGCACTTGGTTCTTTGCATATGGGTAAACTATCATGGATTCACAGTTTAGAGAACTGGTGGGGAGACAGGAAAGGAGGTGCTTTCAAAGAGTACCTACTACACTTTTCTCATCTTAGAGTTAGTGAAAAAAAAATAAGAGAGGATAAATGACTTAAACAAGATCATATACTAGATCATGGCAGAGTCAGGCTTGAACCTGGGTCTTCATACTCTAAGACCACTATTCTTTCCAGAATGATACATTTTACAAAATAGATTCATCAAGAACCCATATTATAACACGAGAATTACACACAATCCTAGTAACTACTGCCATAGGGTTTTCTTTTATCTTACTTTTGTCTTCCCACTTTATATATTTTACAGACTAGTTTTGCTTGCAATCATCTTTAGAGTAGAAGTAGTGAAATGTCTTAGGTCTATAAAATAAAAGATGATTTCATTAACTCGACCACCTTATGAGTGGCACAGTCCCCTGCCTGGGTTGTAGAAAGGATGTTTGAATATATACTTGGCCTTGAATGTAGCACTTTGCATGCATCATTTATAGGACCTAAGACTATAGAAGTAATATTGAAGTAGCTAAGGTAAACAAACTTATCAGTTTAACAATGTGTAGGACTCTATTCTGTATATAAATAGTGCATATGAAATAACCACGTGTGGTATGACTAATGAAAATGAAAATATTTGCAGCTGGAAAGAAGTATGATAGGATATAATGAGGTTTTCAGCTACATTTCAATATTTATGGTATTTTAAATTTACCAATATAAGTTGTATACACTTCTGACAGTTTTATTCTTTACATAATATTCCTTTCTACTTATTAAACTCTAATTCTCTTAGCATAGCTTAATTTTTTGCCTTTTAAGACTGCTTTTGGGAAAAAAAGAGACAACACTGGTGTTCAGAAAATTGCAAAATGTGACTGTCTCCCAAACATTTTGGTGTAATATTAGAAAAGACTGGTAACGTGAGTCAACACCTAAAAAGCATCATAAATGTATAATTTAAAAACATAGGCAATTTCATTTCCAAAGCAATTATGCTTTGGAATAACTTTTTGCAAAAAAATTACCAAAAATTATTTTTGAAAACATTTTTTTATAAATCTCTATATATCTAATTATCTAAAGTGAACCAGTGCAAATGTGAAAGATTTTTAATACATTTTGTCATGTTACTAAATTATCATTACAGAAGCCAGAATATCATTGCCTATTTTTTTGCAGTTAATTATATTATTCAGATAATGTCCTGAAGCTTTCTCCAAACCCTACGATTAAATACCAGAAATCTAAAACATTTTGCTCCAGTTCTTTTAAAAATAGGTCCAGTCCCAGGAAAACAAGACATCTCCCTGTGGCTGGTTAGGATTCCTATAGGCTAGCTAGCCTCAGAAACAAACATTTAAGTAATAATACATTTAAGCACATGATTCATACATTTAAATAACTAATTGAAATCTTAAAAGGGTTACCTCTAAAATGCCTTTCTTCTCAAGACACAATCTCTCCCACTACTTTCCTGAAAGTGAGATGTGGTAGTTCAGTAACTTTACCTACATCCTATTATGTGCTCTGCAAACTTTCATTTAAGCACCAGAATCCTATTTTGCTCTGTAAAAACAAGAAGACACCTCAGATTCTTAAGCTCATTGTCCAGCAAAGAATTCATCAAGGGATAGTTTACAGTAAGCCTAATGGCATGTTAACAGTTTCAATGAGCCAGAAGGACACAATCCTTCCCCTCAATCCTTCCAAACAGTGAAGTTTTTCTTTTCCTTGACAGTGGCACATTTATTTCTCATGTAGTCTGTCCTGTATTTTGCCAGAAATGTAATTCAAGCTATCTTTTAATATTTATAGATGATCAGTAAGTAAAAACAATAAGAGTAATTAAGCAATTTTTGTTATGCTGCTTTGGATATAATCAAAATTACATACAAAGGGGAAAAAATGATAAGATTATATTTCCCCAGGAAGCCAAAGTGGGAGAAAGAAGTTTTAGTGGGTAATTAGCAGGTGATAGAAGTAAACAATTAAACATATGCCAAATATGTGGACACCTAAAGTCACTGTCATAGATAGGGACTCTTATGTTTACATGCCTTGGGAAAAAAAAAATCGGGATTTCAACCCAAGTTCTCCTGATCCATTTTTCATATTTCAAATCACCATCAAATCTAGCATGACTTTGTGGTTTAGTTGAAAGTCACTACACGGAAGTCCCCGATTTAACCATGGCAGAGACATGAATAGGAAACACAGAAATGAATCCAGCTAGGATCAAAATTTGAAGTGTGGAAGAATTATCCCATGGTGAAGTAGTTTCTAATTGAAGTGATTAAATTGGTATGAATAACAATCCAATAAATTTATATTACTCAGATAAAAAGATCACTACGGAATTGTACCCTTTTTAGAATTTTCAACTTTAACCAACTGGATGAGTTGAGTTAGATCACAAAGAACACACTACAACAAAAAGATAATTTCTGATCCTTTGAATTATTCAAGTTTTCAAAAACCAAAAGAGATGCCAAGGAGTAGCTTTTAAAGAGGGGAAATAAAATGATTAAGGATCCATTAGATTTGAAAAAAAGTTAGGTTTGGGGGAAAGAAAAACATTTTATATAATATATCTAAACACTGAAAGATGTTACCATGAAAATTCAGATAATCTAAATATTTTAAAAGCTTGATAAGTGACTTTGTTAAGTACTAAGCAAAGCCAATTGCTTTGGAAACAGAAGGACTCAAATGCTTCTAGGACTCTCTGAACTATGGCTTCTCCAAGCTGTATGGGTCTATCTAAAAATGAATAACTCAACCCTCAGGATTTGGAATTCAGAAAAATAGAACTTAAAGGGAAAAACATGCAGAAATTTAATACAGAATTCTTCAAAGAATGTGTGTGTGTATTATTTTTTCTTTCTTTCCATAGTAGAACTGATTCTGGAATAACCATTATGACTATGATGAGACTGAACTAGCCCAGGGGAAGAAGAAAAAATTAATGACTCCATAAGTAAAATATCACATGTTTAAAGACTGTTTAGTCTGTTGCTCCAGAATCCCAGTTGAAAACATCATAGTTTTGACTCTGAAAAAAAAGTATGCTTTCACGCCCCCTAGAGGTGTGCTTTATGACCAAGATGGTTTCCAGTCTATCTCTAGACTTTGCTGACATGTATTGCATAGAAAATAAATTGGAAAGAAAGAAAAATGAGGGAAAATTATAAACATTATATCACTACTGTCTGCTATGAGATCCACTAAGAAGCTTGATTAGTGGATAGAATATTAGATTGGGAATCAGAAGTGCTGGGGTCAAATACTGACTCCACTGTCTAGCTATTTAATAGCTGTTCTGTTCCAGTTGGATGACTTTCTCTTTGTACTGGCGTTTTTCAGTGTGTACAATGGAGGCAAATACCTCAAATATAATTCGAAGATTAAATATTTGTGTCAGTTTTTGGTATATATTTTATATCCAATAAATACTAGCTAAACCTTAATCATCCTCATAGAAAATGTGCCAAAATAAAACTCCTATTGACATATTTTAAAAACAAAAACAGTTCTGTAACAAAATAGAAATATTTTATAGAACTATAAATCACTAAAAAAAGTCAAAAAGGGAGAAATGAAAACAAAGTATTGATGAAATAAAACCATAAAAAAGGGAAAATCCAAAGTTTTCTTCATATTGACAGGTGATGAATGAAATGTTAAGCTCTAAAATGAGAAGTTTACATGTGTTTTTAAAAGCAAAGTTTGGTAACAAATTATACCTCATGTTTGACACCAGTTAAAAATAGGGGAACCCTGTACCTTCAAAAATAAATGGGAAAGGATGTCACGACACTCCCCCCCACCCAACGCGCGCGCACACACACACACACACGTGCAGACTCCATAATGGTAACCTTTTAAAACAGAGTGCTAATGAACCCACAGTCAAGGGACCCATCCCTAAAGGCCAACTTTGTTCTGATCTGTAGCATTGACCTCACCTCTATTCAATTTTGTGTGTTATGAGCGTGAAACAATGAAGAAACAAAATTTATAGGCCAATAACACCATTTAAAAAAAATTAAACTAACGGAAAACATCCCAAGCCAAACACCCTTTCAAATTTTGGAAGGAGAAAATGCTATCTTTCAACTGAGATTCAAAGAACTAATAACCAAGGACCACTCTAGATGGCTCTTCATTCTGAGTTCTTTCCTCCTATGTGATTCATTTTGGCTAACCAATAACATCTCTACAAAGCGACATATTCTCAACCAATGCCATGAATACCAAATCTTAACCTAAGGCCCTAATTAGAAAATAAAAGTCTAAAATTTAATCAGAAAGATTATTCTAGATCTTAGAAGTGGACCCACACTCTGGTTAAGAGGCACAATTTGTCCACAAATTTTAAAAAAGCACCAAGACTAAAGGCAAAATGACACTCATCGATTTTTCTAATTATGTAATAAAATCTTTAAACTCAAATGAACCTTAGAAGATGTAGCAGTCAAATTCCTGGTTTTTAATTAGAGACTAGAGGCCTAAAATATTTTGCCCAAAGTAACAAGGTTATTAGTCAGTCATTAAAAATATCCTACTCAGCTCTCCTGGCGTCCAATTTCGAGTAATGCTAAGTTTTTTGTTTTTTTTCCAGGAAATCTCTTTCTCTTCTTGCAGCCCCATGATGATTTGTCTTGAACTAAATGATAGTATACGTGTAATAATTCCTTCTCAAATCATTACCAATAAATTAACACTAAGTGGAGATTGATTCTTATATTTTCATGGCATTTGAAATTTTTTCAAGTTTTTAAAAATCCTACTAATCCATTCTTCCAAAGAATTTAGCCCTGGTTTTTGGACCCCTCCAGATTAACTTGAAACATAATTTGAATAGAAAACCATCTGAAAGTCATTAATCAATTAGACTATTTAAGTACTTACCTCAAAATTTCATCTAAGTTGATTAAGTCAACTTTAATTCATGAGAACATTTTGGGGGTTTTGATGTTGTTTGTGATACAAAGACTTCTGTTTTACTAACTATAAGGCAGTTAAGAGCTAGCAGAGTTCTACATTGTTTTGAATATATGTGTGTGTGTGTGTGTGTGTGTATATATATTGCGTATAATCTCATATAAGGGGAGAACAGTAGTAAAAACTCAATTGACCCTGAAAACATTTAGGACAGAAAAACTACACAACCATTACCCATTTTGACAAGAGGTATTTTCTACCTTCTCTCCAGTTCTTTTCTCTAGTCTGAAAACACTGAGTGGAAAATCTTGATTGTTGCTCGGAAGAAATGAAAAGAAATAGTGGGATCCTGTTTGTGCCTCTATATCAAAAGCACAAAGATACCAAAAGAGCCTTAACATCAGTTGCAGTTTTAACAAAACTCGGCAAAGAAATTGTCAGAGCCTCATTGTTTTCAACCAAGGTAACTTTGGCCTTTCAAAGGCTCCAAAAGTTTGTAATACAAATTGCAGCCTTGAATCAAAATTCTAAAATTAGACATAACATACTTGTGATTAATATAAGACCTGACATTTCACCATACCTGCAAGTTGAAGCTTTAGCTAAGATTTCTTACCAAGATTCTAGAAAACTTAGTGGCAATCGCATGACCTTTTGTACCAGGTGAAAGAAATGTGCTGTGTGACTGTATCTCCTAGTAAAGCACAGTCCACATCACAGAAGTAGGGTATTTAGCCCTAAAGTGAAGAAATAAGCCCAAAGTTTAGTTAGCACACACGCTGAAATTCAAGCTACCTTTCCGATCCAGCGCCCATTCAGGGAGCCATGTGTGAAGGCTGCAAAGTGCATTGCAAAAGCTGTCTGTCCCACGCCTCAGACATCTGTCCCTTACCTTCTCTTAGGCGGTCAGAACCAGGACGCCCATGTTGGAGAAGGCCACCAGAGCCACCACCTCCTCCTCCGCAGTTAGGGGGGGGGCATTCCTGGAGAAGGAGCCCATTGATCGATTTCAAAGGCTGGGCAAACTAGACCCCAGCTGCAGCTAATCAGCGTCCCCTTGGCTAAGAGGTTGGGGGAAGGAAGCAATGAGCCACAAGGGCTCCTTCCCAGCCTTGCGGCTGTGAATCTCAGCGTTAGGTGAGGGGGAAAGGTGGACTTTTCCTGCCTGGCTGGCACATCCGACCTGTCTGAGCCTTTATTTTAACACTAGGAGGCCAAATGGGTGTTCCTGTGCACATGCAGATCTTATTTCCCCCACAAAAGATCTCCTATACACAACTGATTTAGCTTTGTGGGAGAGGGTACTTGGAGAGAGGGAGGAGTTTACAAGAGGGACGGTAAAGTTTTGCAAACTCTTCACTAGAAGTGGATGAAAGTGAAGGAGGGTGAGGGACTGAAGGTGAAGAAGGTGGGAAAGTAAAGGCTTTGATTTCCGAAAAGGTTAACTGGAGGGAAGTACTGCACAACCCACCCCCCACCCCAGTTGTCCTGGAATGTCGAAAACAGAATCTGTTAACGCCTGCTTTTGCTCCCTCTCTAGTCAAGACCGTAGAAACTTCGGATGTCTGGGCTAGCTTAATGGTAATTTACCTTCCTGGGCTGATAGGATTTAATTTTGCCGGAATACCTAATGTCTCCAAAGCAAAATTGGCTCCCCTGCTGCTCCCCAAACAATTTAGGATTCCAAAACCCTGCTCTCTGGATGAAAAGAGCACTACTGCTCTGCAAAAATCTTCCCAAACGGGGTTGATTCATAGGCTAGCGTTTGTTTATTCACGTTTAAAAAAAAAAAAGCTCAACTCTGTGAAACTCATCAGTCGGAAACAGGGAGTATCTCCCCAAATCGTTAAGCGTCGTGTTCTTTCCTGCCATCCCGGCCTCCTCCACTCTAGTAAAACACTCAGGATCCATCCAGGCAGACTGCCCTCGCTCAGCTCCCCTCTCCCCAGCAACCGCCCGCGCTGAGCATGCATCACAGAGACCCCGGCGCGCGAATGCACAAGTGTGCGTTTAGAATCCATGTGCTAATGAGAAGTCCTCACTTCAGTCCCTGGTTGGCTGAGCCGCCCCTGCGGGCTCTCTGTGCGGCAGTCATCTGGGCCGTTCCACAATAGGGATGAGGGACACATGGTTGTGTCCAGGGAATCCCAGTCACCCACTGCAGTGCCCATCCCCTGAGCGCCAGAGCCCGTCCAGCGGTCCGCGGCTCCTCGCGCGTCCCAGCCGTGCCCCCGAGGTCACCGCACGGAGCGCCCCTCCCCCGCCGCCCCCCGCGCACCCGCAGGCAGGGCTCCCGCAGTCCAGCTGCCGAGCGCGCGCGGCGGCTGCGGCGGCGCCGGCTGAAACCCCGCCGGCCCGCCTTGCTCACCCGGCGTCCGGAGCTGGCTGCTGGCGGCTCTCAGAGGCGCCGGGGCTCCCGGCTCCGCTCGCGCAGCGTCTTGGGGTCGGCCCCCTCCCGGCGCAGGTCCTGCAGCAGCCGTGCTCCGCACCCCGGCAGCTCGGCAGCAGCTACAGCCGCCCTGCCCCTCTTCATACTTCTCTGATGGCTCCTCTCGGTGCCGTTTGGGAAAACGATTTTTCCCCCCTGCCAGAAACAGATTTCCTACATTTCATCAGTCCACATAGACCGAGCGGAAGTAAAATGCTTACTTTTTCTGGTGGACGGCAAACGCAATTGACACTCATTTACCCTTCAAATGGGGAGAGATTGTATTACAAGCCCTTGGCAACAATTCCGAGGTTGGGGCCAAGTTCCAGCCCCCTTGTCCCCCAAACTCTAACTTAAGAGAGAAAGGGCGGGGGTGCAGTGGGGAGGGGATATTTAACTCCAGGGTTTTTAACAGAGTCAATGGCTTTAGCACAATATTAAAATTGGATGTTGGAAAAGTTTTGCTCTCCTGGCCGGTGATTTTGCAGACTCAGAGGCATGAGCTTTCCAGTAACTTCGGCCGTTCTTCGTTCCAAATTGAACGATTTGATTTCTTACAATTCTTTTTAAACGTCAGGGGTTTAGAATAGGCAGCACTCACCCCCACGGCTGTTTTCGCTTTACAAAAGGAAATACAATTCCACCCTTCTCTCAGCTAAAGCTCAGCTTTATGTTGAGTGTCATGGACAATTTTCTCCAACTGTTGTTTATTAGTACGTGTGTTCTGAGATGAAAAGTCTTCCCATGAAGTGGACAGATGTTCAAGTGTCTGCTTCACCTCTACTACCCATGTGACCCTTGCCGAGTGTCCTAATAGCGGCAGGTTACCACTTTCCGCAGAGTGGACGTGAAAATTAAAACACTTTTGTGTTGTGATTTTGTTTACATGTTCAGCTGCCTGTGCGTCTCCATCCAATGCATAGGATTGCACTGACACAGGTATTCTGATTCTCTCTTGGATACCATTTTTTTTTTATATGGTAAGTAACGTACCCTACCCATCCCCGCAAAAGAGAAACTACCTGTAGATCCACATAGCTAAGTGATGTGGAAAATTTTAGATATAATTGAAAAAAAAAGACATTTTGCTTGTATTATGCTTTCATCTGGAAGTGGTTGCTCTAAAACATCTAGAAACTCCATCAGTTATTTGCTTGTAGTAGCAGTACAAATAATGAAGGGAGAAAGATTGAAAAATTTGGTGGCAAGGAACTCCAAGGTTTTTATTTTAGTTCGGTGTGATGTCGCAGCTGTCAGCTCCATAGTCCTCCTTGGCTTCCCAAAGACAGTGAAAAGAGCCATTCCTCATTTTAAAGAGAAATAGCATTATAAAAAGTCTGTATTATCAGCCACACATAAATAACAGCAACAAAACACAAAGAGCAGGTTAGTGATTAATTTGAGTAAATGACACTGAGTAATAAAATTTCTCAGAATTTAACCAGATCTGAGTATTCCAAGAGCCCCAATAAAGTATCTTGAGTTTCTGAATCTGTGCCAGTTAGGTAAAAGGCCAAACATCCTTGATAATTTTTCATGATCAAAATATCATCGGCCAATAGATGTTAATTTAAGTATCATTGGTGTATATGAGTTCAAAGAATCTAACACCATGAATTTTGAAATTCATATTTCATATTCATGAAATATCCTATTGCTCCACAGATATAAATATTCTTGTCACATTGTTCCATATTGATAATATAAAAAGCAAAGTGTAAGGCAATATTTTTGTTGATTTAGGAGCAATGCTCAACCCGGTGTAGGAAAATAAGGAAGCTTACAGAAGCATTGGGAAAGCACAGCCATGCAAATTACTCCCTCTGAGGCCCTTCCCTCCAGGTATTTTTAGTTTTAGTATCTGCATTATAGCAGATCCTCTGTCCTTTTAACTAGAGCCACAAGGAAGCAGCGCCTGGGTGACTCAGTAGGTTAACCATTGAGCCCTGTGTAGGGATCTGCACTCAGTGTGGAGTCTGCCTGAGATTCTCTTTCTCCCTTTGCCTTGGTCCCTCCCCCCACTCCCTCTCTCTCTCTAAGAATAAATAAATAAAATATTAAAGAAAAGAGAAATAGTACAAAAGATTTCTGAAGAGGCATAAAAATGTTTTCATTTAACATTTTTTCAGCATTTGTAACAACTCCTGTTTGATTTTTATTTTGTGATTTTCAAAATATTTTCAAAATAAAATAATTATGTATTCCAATTGGCCATTGATACATTTGTCAGACACTCTTTGTCCAAGAATTTTCTTGCCTTGGTCTCAACCTAAACATGGTCATCTTAGAAAACCTAGAAAACCATGGCCCAATAGACTCAACCATAACATACTCTCCAGTGTGAAGGTGAAGCAAACAAATTCGTCACCTAACGAGGTTAAAAAAAAAAAAAAAGCCTAAATACGTTCTTGAAGCTTGGCAGCATAAAGAAGCCAGATTTAGAGAAAACATAGTTTAGTTTTCCTTTTTACGTTATCACAGCTTCGAGGATTCTCATATTGAAAGTTTGGGGGTTAATATGTGTTTCGGGCATTCTAAACCTTCAATGTTGTCTTGTATATGAACTGGACCTTTTCTCTTAAAATATATATAGAGAGAGAGAGAGAGAATGAGCAATAGAATTCTTTATTTTTTCCTCATCTGTAGGTTAGCCTCTCCTCCCCCCCTTTCCCCTCCCTCTTTGCTCCCTCTTCTCTCTCCCTCGCAGAAATAATACTTACTCCGAAAAGTGGGGCAAACCTTCACTGGATGATGGGGATCAGACGGCGTGTTGAAAGACGTTAAATCATGTGGAAAGAGACGGTGGGTAAGATAAATTTGCAAAGGGACCAAGTCATTCTTATATTCCTAAATAAGTGCAAACAGGCACTTAAAGATGGCCCGTGATAGCTGGAGAGGCAGGTGAGAGTGATGATACAGAAAGCAGCCTGAAGACATGCAGGGGTGCTGCAAAACCACATGAAGCAATGGGCTCAGTGGAAGCACTTACATTTTACCGAAATAGTTTATCAGTGATGTCAAATATCCTTATATTTCCCTATCTAGCATCTCGGCCCCTAGGATGGGCCTTCAATGGATATATATTGAAATAAAAATTTTTGGAAATGTCATAAGGCAGACAGAAGTCCTCGTATGGTTAATTACAAACACTGTTAGGGATAACAAGTAAAGGCTGTGACTTTTCATCACCATTCATGTATAAAACTACAAAGAATAAATGAGAGAAATTTCCTGGGAAAAGTTCAAGGTTTACTCAGTTTGACATGCAAGTTAAAAAAAAAAAAAATCTATTGCTTTACTCTCAATGGAGAACTTTAACTTTATAAGCACAACACCACAGTAGCATCGATATTCGTTCCCTACTGTTCGAGGCTCATATTTTTGCAAAATGTGTGCTATATATAAACCGATGTCTTCTCATTTTTACACGGGGGATAGATTAAAATCATTTCATGAACTCTGCCATTTACCTCATCTAGTTTTAAGTACCCTATACGATGTATACTGTTGTGTGATTTTCCTCGTCCGAGTTGGAGTTGGGTTTTTTTAATTTTTACTTCATTAAATATCCTTGTGGTTTGTTCCTAAAACTTTTGTTAAAATATCATGCCACCCTAATTGCAAGAAGCTCAAATTTAATGAGTGTTTAATATAAAATATTTTTATTTCAATCATCTTGTCTTTCTTTATACCATTGTTATCTCCAGCATGTAGAATGCCAATGGGCATAGAGCAGGCACTCAATAAATAATTGTTGAATGAATAAATTACTATTACAGTAAAAGCCAGTCTCTTAGGAAACTTACTAAAACTTACTACTAATTGGTTAGGTTTTTATATATTGTCTTTAATTTAGTAGTTTGGAACCCAGAATAGAAAAATAATGTTAAAATAACATTATAAATGATGGTTTCATTCCCAAGCTAAAATCATTTCATCTGGTAAAATGTAACTAGCGTTCAGTAAAACAGATGCTTGCCTGTGTGCCAGGCTTATAAATGAGGTCAGTCTGTGTCACTTGTCACTTCATTAAAAACCAAGGTTGATTTGGACTCAAGGTTTAATCATAACCGATATAATATGAGTGCAAAGTAATCGAAAAAAATTACTACTTCGGTGGCTTTAAAACTTTTTTTATTGTGACCCATAATAAAAAATACATTATGGAACAGACACACTCAGACACCCAGGACCACAACAGATTTCACGTAACAGTACTCAACCTTCCTCCATTAATGCATTCTGGTATTTTTCTTTTAAAAAAAAATTTTTTTCTGATATTTTTCTACTTGGCTTTATTCTAGTGTTTTGATGCCATTTTGTTGAAAAGAAATGCTATTGAAGAACTGCTAAATATATTTCACAACGCACAGTTTGAAAACAATCTGACCTAGAAACTAAGAAGAAAATCAGTCAAAATGGAGATAGGGTATCAGTGAACAGATGGTTTCATTATAAACTACAAAACAGATGTGCGTATATATTGTTAGTGGTAAACTTGACATGATGTCATGTCACAATATCCCAAACATCGTATACCCTCAGACCTCCATGCCTTTGCTCATGCTGACTAGAATGATCTTTTACCTTTTACTTTCTTCCTTGAAAGAAAGCAGATTCATTCTTCTAGGACCAACTTAATAGTCATCTTTTTTGTGGTTCTCTTGATCTCTCTGGCAGAAATATTGCTGTGTCTCTCTGTCTGATGCTCTGAGAATTTTTCCATTTCTTGTATATCTCATTTATAACTTCACATCACAGTGATTTTCTTAAGCATCAACCCCACCCCCTAAACTGTGCATCCCTTGAGAGCAGGGACCAGGTTATCCATCTTTGCATATCAATACTCAACACCAAAGGTAGTTGAATGATTGAATGAATGAATAAATGAACCATAAACCATGGAATATCTGAGAGAGAAAAAGTGGGTGTCATTGGGTGATGGAACAGATTCAAGAAGGGAAGAAGTGTGTGCATCAAAAGAGAACTAAATGAAAATTCTTCTGCAGAGACGGCGCCAGCTGTTGGTTTTGCGTCATTGTGGATGGAACAATTTACATTATAAGTGACATTTTACTGTCACATTTCATGTGACTCCCTGGTCTAGCTATCCATTATTTTTTAAGAACATTGATAATGACAAACTTAGGATTACTTTATGAAAGGATGAGAAAACTGCTGAAATTTCCATTGTTGTAACGTAGTTTACAAACAT